CATAGCATCTGACCTGATGTTTACCCTCTCCTTAATATCTGCAGTTGAGCCTGGCATTGAGAATGCTCTTAACTTAGTGTCATTTAGTGACATATTTCACTAGTATATTCCAACAAGTAGTTGGATATAGTTATTAAATGTATCAAAGATGAATCACTAATCTACTGAATAGTACCTTCTGTCCTGATCAAAAATATCCTATGTCATCCGAACTTAACTTCAATATCTGGGATTCTCTTTTTTTTTTTTAAAGTTTTTTAAGTTTTTAATAAAAAATGAATAAAGTAAATTAGAAATTATGCAAATTTTAAAATCAGAAAAGTAAAAAATAAAAATGTACAGTGTATGGTTTTGACCTTTAAAATATGAAAATTCAAATAAACTGTGTACAGTGTATTCTGAAGTTTATGAAATTATGCAAATGTCATAACTACAATACTTCAATTCAGAGAAACCACATGTAATCTTTATCTGTGTGTGGTGAAGAATGTATTGACTGTAACACTTATGTCCGCTAGGGGAGCTGTTTTATTTTTAACTCCTTTCAAATGTATCAACTAATACTTCCGGTTCATAAACCTACTTCCGGTGTATTTACCCAAATAAAGTTCAAATTACTTTCTTTGAAAAGCATGAAAAACAAAAACAACTTAATCTACTCTCAATGTTCATCTACACCATCCCTGTGTATCCACCATCCCAGTAGTTACCAGTTGTATCTTTACTCAAACTATTTCACCACCTAGCAATGCCAACTGGCTAGCTAACTAGCTTAGCAGTATAGCATTAACCTCATGTGACTGGGGGAAGGGGAGGGGAACAATGGGAACATTTGATGCAATTGAAAACCACACTGCTTGAAACACTCCAATACAAACTTCATTTATCTTAGCTCTAAATTCTATAGATGCTGACCTAAAAAGCTGATCTTATACCAATCTTGTACACAATCTTTCCGGCTTAGAACATCACACAAAAATATACTTTTCGGCTTAAGAACTCCACACAATATACTTTATTAAACGAGACTACGCCGGTTTAACACATCAAACATATAAACTAACATGAACGGACCCAGTCCAGTGCTAAACAGAGCATGGCTCGTACCTCCCCAGAGATCTTAACACTATTTGGAGCCAGTCCAATGTAAACCAGATAACCTCTAGTGCCTTCCCAAAGGTCTTTAATATTCACATTAATCGGGCGGCGCCGAAGAAACACTATAAACAAAACCGCACCACCAACGCTTGCACCTAATGTAAGTTATTTAACTATACAGTTTTTTAATTAAACAGGTAACTGTCTCACCTGTGATTTCGGCCCAGCCAAAAAATCCTCTATCTGCCGCCTGTTGTGATGCTAGTTAGCTGCAGCTTTCCCTTCTTCCAGCACTCTCCAGTCTCAGAGTCCCTTCGTGGGTTGCCAATTGTTAGTTATTCTTGAACCCCAAGAGCAGGAGAGACTGAAAAGAGTCAAGGCAAGCTTATACAAGTTAACAGCATTTAATTACACAAAAGATGCGGTGGTTTACAAAAGTTATGTGCTCGTTGGTGGTTTGCTCCTCCCAGCTGTTTTGGTCCCGTCCGTCCGGGTCAGCTGCGGGCAAGGAGAGAGGGGGATCCTTTTTGGGTCTCCCGGGTAAGACCTGTAGTCTTCTCCTATTGGCCGGCGTCGATGGGGGCGTGTCCAATGCAAATCCTGTCGGCTTCTGCTACTAAATTACATCACTCTGATGTCTGTGGTCATCTAAACATTCCCTAATAAACCTCATTCCAGCGTCAATAAATGAGTGTTAAACTCAGGGTATTTTAGTGTACAACATCACGTTATTTCACCTTCAATTCACGGTTTGAAAACGTAGCATTTCGCCACAAGCTAATGCTAACCGGAAATGACGAAATTCACCAGCGGAAAAACCGGAAGTCACATGTGAATCTTCGGTTTTCAGAATAAAACAGATTTAAATGAAATAGTGTATTTCATTCAAATTACGCCACATCAACATTGATTTTAATTTCTAACACAATGAAAACAATTGGCCACATGCAGCAAATAATTGATATTAAACATGTAATTTTTACTTTTGAATACTTCAGTACAAAGGATGTATTGAATAATTTAAGTGATATGTGTACACATATAAATCATTAGTCAAAACAGGGCTACATTTGATTGAATTATAAAAGGTATAATATGTGGTAAACTGAAGAGCCGTTTGGGAGCCGAAAGAGCCGGCTCTTCTTGGTGAGCCGAGCCAAATGATCCGGCTCACCAAGAAGAGCCGGAATTCCCATCACTATGGTGCAGTGTGTGCGTAGATGCAGCGGACAGACAGGTCTCAGTTGGTTTGGTGTCCTCTGCTTACTTGTAAATAAAACTTTTGGCCCGTCATTTATTTCCCTAATTGTAGCGACCAGAGAGGGGGGGGGGGGGGGGGGGGGGGGGGGGGGGGGATATATCCAGTCTCTGATAGTGTTACGTTATTATGAGAGTGCTCTGTTTGATTCTGAAATTGTATATATTTATATAAATATATACATATATGTGTGTGTGTGTCTGTGTGTATGTCCGCATCTGTAGCCTGTTATTGTCTCATCATTATACCGCACTGTGAATGAATTAAAAGTAAATATATAAGTCGTCATGAACACATCTGTCCATCAGACAGAGGGCTGCTGTGCCTCCTGTCATCATTAATGGACGTCTCTTTAAAATGACCGCTCAGAGGAGAGGTGTTCTCATTTCTCTAACCACCTGCTGCTTCCCCTCCTCTCTCCTCGGTTCCCCTCCTCGGCTCCTCCGCTCGCATCTCCTGTGGGCGGGACTAAGTCTCGAGGATAGGAGTCGAGGAGGGGAGTCGAGGAGGGACATTTGAAGACATGAGAAAGGGCCCAGGGGACACTAAAAAGTGACGCACACAGATGGGAGACCAGGGGACAATAAAGAGTGACGCACACAGCTGGGAGACCAGGGGACACTAAAAAGTGACGCACACAGCTGGGAGACCAGGGGACACTAAAAAGTGCGCTTGGTGACGTTCAGGATTATAAAGCTGAACAACTGTCTCTGTCTCAGAGTCAGTCTGTCTCATAACTGTCAGTGTTTGTCAGAATATCTGAAATGATTAGGTTAGCTACGTTAGCTAGCTAGCTTACAGCAGATCTGTAGTAACATCAAAAGGAGTCATGTGATCACATTGTTTCAAATAAGACCATAAAACATTTCAGGTAAGTTTCCAACAACAGAGACAGTTGTCACTTTTTAGTGTCCCCTGGTCTCCCAGCTGTGTGCGTCACTCTTTAGTGTCCAAACTGCAGAGCGTTCCTCCTGATGGAAATGTTTTGGGCCGTAGTAGCGCGTTCGCTCCCGTCGGCCACCGTACTTTAAGCTTCTATTTGACAATAAACTTGAATCTAACTTGAGATTAAAAATGCAGCAGAAGCACCGGTTAAAACAGAGAAATGGGAGGAAACACCACACACTCTCAGAGTATTAAAGCACATTAAAGTGTAAACAAAACACACACACACACACACACACACACACACACACACACACACACACACACACCACACACACACACACACACACAACACCAATCACACACACCACCACACACACACCAACACACACACACCACACACACCACACACACACACACACACACACACACACACACACACACACACACACACACACACACACACACACACACACACACACACACACACACACACACCACACACACACACACACACACACACACACACACACACACACACAATGAAAGTAACATTATAAAAACTGATTAGTTTACAGTTGTGGCTTCGTGGGCAATAGTCAAGTTTCTGTCAGAAATCATTCCCTCTGGACCCCCGACGGTGTGGCACATTTATTTTTATGCTGCTCAATAAAAATATGAAAGCCGAACGAGAGGAAATGAATGCAGATTTTCTGTGATTTTCAATAAGAAATATAAAAATTGTGATTGTCCCCAAACATGGCTGCAGAGTCATGGATGGAAAATTCATTTTTGGTGTTAATTAGACGACAAATTCTGATTAATAAAGGGTTGTTTTTCAGTCTACAGCATCCTATTTAGGTTTTACAAGCTGCCAATGTAGCACAACTACCACGGGAATATAAAATAAATGAGAATTTTTCAAAACATCCATGGTGGTTATTCAAATATCAGCGTAAAGTGACAATTATGCGACTAAAATCAATGTGACTCAATGCACTGCCACTTTGATCATTCAGAGGGATTTTCCTATAAAACCACTTGTATAAAAGTTCAAATATTATTAAATATGAAATGTTATTATCATCACTCTATAGGATAAAAGGACCATGCAGTTTGACTTCACAGGAGTTGTGTACACATATCTTAAAATACGATAGAAACTTGTTATTAGAACTCTTTTATGTGTAATTTCTCTTCATTTTTCTTAAAAAGTTCAGGTAACACTTTAGATTAAGGTACACATATTCACCATCAACTAGTTGTTCATTTACACATTAGAGTCAAACTACTAGCTTATTGGTTATGAACAAGACTTCACTTTAAAATAGGGAACTTATTCTGAGTTAGAAAAACCTAATTTTTAGTTATTTTGACACAATTAACACTTGTAGTTTCATGTGTTGTTACATAAGAATAGACCATATTTGTTAGGTGTTATTATGAGAGTTATTAGGCCCATATTGAGCATATTAAGACCCTAACTCATGCACAACAACGTCCTTACTTACAATAAATAAGCACTAATTAGAGGGTTATTGAGGACAAACTCTTAACCAATGGCCTGTAGAATATGGTCATGTAGAATAAGGCATTAATACGTGTTTTATAATGACTAATACAGAGCCAATATACTGCTAATATGCATGTTAATTAACAACTAGATCAGGGGTGCCCAACCAGTCGATCGCGAGATGTGTCTAAAAATAGAACAACAATATTCTGTTTTATCGTTAAAGTCCTATAACATAGTCTTCCTGTGCCAGAATAATGCACTTGAACGCACCAAAGCTTTGTGATTGGCGTGACCCCATGTGCCGGGGCGTGGCTAGTGGGCAGTGGGCTCTTGTTCGATGACGTTGTCCGTGGCAACAGGAGTGACAGTCCGCACACACACAAGACCGCAATTATGGCAGAAGCAAAGAAGCCCAAAATATATCATTTTCACTCCGAGTGGGAGGACGGTTATTTTTTTGAATACGACCGCTGTTTTTAAATGGCATCATTTTCGCTAGCACCCCCCCCCCCCCCTCTCTCTATTTGGACTGGTAGATCTCGGCAGACTGGCAACTTTAAAAGTAGCTCTTGGTTCAAAAAAGGTTGGGCACCCCTGAACTAGATGATGGCGAATATGTGTACCTTAAAATAAAGTGTTACCAAAGTTCATATTTTTCCACTTGGCTTGTATTCTCCTCACAGTCCTTCCCTGCGTTTCTGTGTGAAATATCTCCAGAAGGACGTTGCTACTGGACCTGGAAGACGTTGATTTTGCTCGTGTTCTTCAGCGTTTGTCTCCTGTTGCAGAACCAAACTCTCACCACCTCTCGATCGTAGTTCAGCTCTCGAGCCATTTCCGTGATCTCTTGTCCCGTCGGCAGCGCGTTCTTGTCAAAGTATGAGTTCAGGACTTCGATGGCCTGCGGCGTGAAGCTCGTGCGTCGCTTTCGTTTTTTGGACGGTTCTCCGCCGACGAACTCCATGAGGTTCTGCTGTCCCTTATGGTTCCAGTGCTCCGCCTCGGCCAGCCACTTCTCCAGAACCGGCTTCAGCTTCTGGGCGCTCTTAGGGGTGATGTCCAGCTTTTCAAACCTGCGGAGCCAAAGATATTCAGCAGGATATATATTACTGTAATTACATCAGCTTTAATCTAACAATACATCTCTTTAGTGAGGGTATGTTAATGGTATAGCCAGATTTTAAGAGACATAAAAAGCTGTCGAGACATAGTTTTTTAAAAGTTAAATTATATAACATAAACCATAAAAGAGAAAGAAAGATGATGTCATTTCGTTTATCATTTTATTTGAGTGTTGCCTCTTCTGTCTGGGTTTGTTTGACTAATGTAAAGGCCTTTATTCTCTTGTGAATGTGTGATGGAAGAATTATTTTTGAACGTGTGATTAACACAAGTTTCATGAACATCAGGCCAGATTCAACATTTTGTATTCAGGATTTGATGTCTGATGTGAAAACTGTGATTCAGACGTAAGCTGAAACAGCTGTTAGTAAAACGAATAAATAAAAAGATAACGCGTGAGAAATGTCTGTTTTTAATGGATGGAAACAACTTCCATTATAAAGAGAGAATAGTTGCTGTTTCTTTACCCTACATTACTGAGGGAATCAGGGCTTCATGTTGGGTTCAGTGAAGTACCTGCAGATGGCGGACTGGCTGTACGCCGGGCCCTCGGTGGCGGTGAGCGCCTGGCCTACTTGCGTCTGCGTGAGACCGAGAGACAGCCGGCGGATCTTGAAGTTTTTGGCGAACTCTCGGATCTCGTCCAGATTTATCCCCTCCTCGCCGCTGACGACCTGTTGCGGCTCTACATTCAAAAGATTCAAAGGTTTTATTGTCATCTGCACAAAGCTACAGTGTAGAATCAGTGTGTGGATCAGTGTGTGGATCAGTGTGTGGATCAGTGTGTGGATCAGTGAGTGGATCAGTGTGTGGATCAGTGAGTGGATCAGTGTGTGGATCAGTGTGTGGATCAGTGAGTGGATCAGTGTGTGGATCAGTGTGTGGATCAGTGAGTGGATCAGTGAGTGGATCAGTGAGTGGATCAGTGAGTGGATCAGTGAGTGGATCAGTGTGTGGATCAGTGAGTGGATCAGTGAGTGGATCAGTGTGTGGATCAGTGTGTGGATCAGTGTGTGGATCAGTGAGTGGATCAGTGTGTGGATCAGTGAGTGGATCAGTGAGTGGATCAGTGAGTGGATCAGTGAGTGGATCAGTGTGTGGATCAGTGAGTGGATCAGTGAGTGGATCAGTGTGTGGATCAGTGTGTGGATCAGTGTGTGGATCAGTGAGTGGATCAGTGTGTGGATCAGTGAGTGGATCAGTGTGTGGATCAGTGAGTGGATCAGTGTGTGGATCAGTGAGTGGATCAGTGTGTGGATCAGTGTGTGGATCAGTGAGTGGATCAGTGAGTGGATCAGTGAGTGGATCAGTGAGTGGATCAGTGTGTGGATCAGTGAGTGGATCAGTGAGTGGATCAGTGAGTGGATCAGTGTGTGGATCAGTGTGTGGATCAGTGTGTGGATCAGTGTGTGGATCAGTGAGTGGATCAGTGTGTGGATCAGTGAGTGGATCAGTGAGTGGATCAGTGAGTGGATCAGTGAGTGGATCAGTGAGTGGATCAGTGTGTGGATCAGTGTGTGGATCAGTGAGTGGATCAGTGTGTGGATCAGTGAGTGGATGAGAGGGGGGGGACGTACTGCCGATGAGCTGGCCCACTTTAGCCATGTCTCCACAGCTGATGTTCACCGTGGGGGGCAGCGGGGGCTTCATGAGGGACGGCTGCGGGGCGATGACGATCGGGGACTGACTGACGGTCGTTACTGAAGCCTGGGGGAACAGAAACAGTTAGAAGAGACTCCCACTACACTCACATTAGACGCGGTATAGAGTGGTGCAGGAACGAGTCCTAAAACCCGGAAGTGCGTCAACATTTCCCCACTTCCTGTTCCCTCGAGTCAATGGGTTTTTAACTTAACTAGTTTTTGGAAAATATCTGGAAATAAGGTCTGTGGTTGAGACACATTGAAGAGACGGATCACGTTTTGTTCTACGACATTAAATCCATCAGCAGTGACCCCACTGGTGATTTCTGAAGAGTTGACGTGTCTGAAAAACGATGGTTGTTACCAAGTGGCTGAATAGGACTACAGAAGTTGTCGAGGCCGTTGTACGTCATTACGCCGAACACGTAAACACTCCTCTAAGTTAGTTTGCCCTGTTCTGATTGAAAGCAAGTCCCTGCCTCCTGCTAACTGTTCAAACAAACGCTTCAACTCGTACCATTTAGAGTCTGTATGTTTGAATATGGATCTTAAGTTGGCGTGACGTTGAAGTCGTGCTGCTGTACTCGGCTGTAGTTCCTTTATAGCATCACGTTAGCATTTTGCTTCTGGCGATTAGATTTATGATTCGAAAAATTATAAAAAGTAGGGAAGACATGTGGAGATTATCCGGCTGAACAAAACGTGCATTTATCAAACAGGTTCGTTTTCCACAGATATTAATTTTTACAATATTCCAAAATCCTATGGAGAAATCCCGTTGCTTTTTTTGTCGAGGGAACCCATGCGGCCTACAAAAATACGTCATCACTGCACCACTTTATAAGCTTTCAGTAGCTTTCGGTCTGTTTCAAAGCAGAAACCACTTTGTATTCCACCCAATCACAGACAGGCTGTACCTGTGAGATGGGTTTGGTGAATGTTGGAGTAGCAGCGACTTTGGGCAGAACTGCAGCCGACGTCACAGCACATCCCAGCGTGGCGATTATCTGACCCTGAGAGTTCAGAACCAGCTGGGGGGTCACGGTCTGGACCTGGAGACCCTGGAGACCCTGGAGACCCTGAAGACCCTGAAGACCCTGGAGACCCTGTTCTGAATCGACCAATCAGAACTTTATTTAGCCTCCGTATTGTTTATTGTTGGATGTGGGCCACGAAACATTTTTATATATATTTTTTTTTATTCTTAAGTGAGCCCTGAGTTGAAAAAGGTTGGGAACCGCTGATATAGAATATTCAACCCCCTTCCCGTTAGTAAAGGGTTTCTGATTCAGATGTCTGCAGTACCTCATGCTGTACGCCCCCGCCCCGAGCTCCTGCCCGATGCCCGACAGACTGGCATCGAAATCCTGCACCAAACCAGACTCGATCACCTCGTCCGTGAGAGGAAGCTTCAGAGCCCACGCCATGATGACCAGATGAAAGGAGAGCACTTCGGGTTAAAACCTGCGCCAAGGTTCCCACAACCTGACAATCTGTGGAGGAGAGAGGAGAAGAAGATAATAAAGCTTTATTTATACAGCACTTTTCATACAGCACATGCAGCTCAAAGTGCTTTACAAAATGACTCATCACAAACAAACGCCAAGAAATTCCCCTCAGATTATTTGAACTTAAAAAGGTACATGCAGCAAAATATAAAACTTGATCAGATAGACACAAGGAGGTCAAAGGTATGATAATAGAAATAAAATAATGTTTTCTCTCTGACAGATAAGATAAGACACAAGACCACTGAGTTGATGCAACAATATAAAGACCACAGGATTTATTTCTAAAATAGAGCCCAAATGTAAGTTGAAATATCACATTTACCCCTTAAATACCCCATCACTCATTCATCACATCACGACTCGACTACTGCAATAGCATCCTCTACGGCAGGGGTCGGCAACCCCTGGCACGCGTGCCAGCATTGGCACGCGGCACCGTAACCAGTGGCACCCTAGGAATAAGTCGAATAAGTGTGCAAAATATTTAAATTGTATTTTCGGATCCTGAACGAGACCGCCGCCAGAGCGCGTCTCCCCGCACGCAGCGCAGCCCCGCTCTCTTTAACTCCAGGTGACTTTCTGCCGCTTTCCTCCGTGGTGCAGGGCTGATCGTTTCACCACAGAGGAAAGCACTTCACAAATTGCAGTACCCATAAGAAGCTTTACAAATGCCGCAGTTTTTGCGTGGCTGTGTCTTTAGTTGAAAGCCCAGTGGCGATCTGCTCATCTCTCATTGAAATAATATGCTACAAAGGGGCGGACTGGCAATCTGTGTGTTGAACTTTCCTGTCGGCTCCCAGACCGTAGTCGAGGAGGGCAGAAGCAACAAGCTTCAGGTTCAATAACCCACTTTAGCTTAAATGACTGGAGAGAGGCGAGCTCTTCTTGGGAGGCCGTTGCATTTATTTAGCTGTTCTTCTGTTTCACAAAATACATCACAGACCTGTTTTTCTGCTGCCTCGTTTCACTTCCAGAAACATACACACGCTCGCTCACTCTCGCTCTACCATCCACACACACACATGCACACGCCACACCCCTCTCTCTCTCTCTTAAAGGGACAGCGATCTCATCTCACTCTGCATGACCCTAATATCATAACATGTGTGTTCTGGAGAATCACAGAACGGACGATCGTCCTTATTATTATGCCGTTTAAACCAGGTCCACACACTGCTTCCCCGCAGCGAGGCCCCCCCGCCCTCCTGTTGATAGTTCATGAGCGTCAAGCTCCTCAACCCCCCCCCCGTTGATAATTCTGGATCGTTGGCACGCTGATAACAATCTTTTTTTTTAATGGCACTTCATATCAAAAAGGTTGCCGACCCCTGCTCTACGGCATACCATCCAACCTCCTAAATAAACTCCAACATATCCAGAACTCTGCTGCCCGCCTCCTCACCCAAACCCACACCCGCTCCCGAGACCACATCCCTCCCGTCCTCCAGAACCTCCACTGGCTCCCCGTCCGTCAAAGAATCCACTTCAAAGTCCTCCTCATTACTCACAAAGCCCTCAACAACCAGCCCCCCCCCCCCCCCCTACCTCATAGACCTGCTGCACCACCACACCCCTTCCCCCTGCCTCACAGACCTGCTGCACCACCACACCCCTTCCCCCTACCTCACAGACCTGCTGCACCACCACACCCCTTCCCCCTACCTCACAGACCTGCTGCACCACCACACCCCTTCCCGCTGCCTCCGCTCATCAGAAGCCAACCTCCTATCCATCCCCACCCGCATCAATCACCGGACCTGGGGGGACAGAGCCTTCTCCGTCGCTGCCCCCTCCCTCTGGAACTCACTCCCACAACCCATCAGAGACTGCCCTGACCTCACCAGCTTCAAAAAAACTTACAAAAACTCACCTCTTCAAATCTGACTTTTAATGTGTGATTGTTTTTGTATTGCTTGATTTTAATTTGACTTTAACTATATTTATTTATTTGTTGTTCTTTTATTTTATTTCCCCTATATCTGTAAAGTGTCTTTGAGCACCTGTAAAAGCGCTAAAAAAATAAATATATTATTATTATTATTAAATAGTTTCTGTATCCTGGGGGATGCAGTCATTTGATAGGCTGTATCTTTGTGTATAATATAGGTCTAATAACAGTGTAACATGGGTGTATTCATGTGTGATATGGGTATAATATAGGTATAAAGTAAGTTATTATTAATAACAGTGTAACGTGGGCATAATATAGGTGTTTTAATGGTGTAACATTGGTGTATTCATGTATAATATGGGTTTAATAACAGTGTGTTATAGGTGTTATGTAGATAATAGCAATTAATTAATCCTCCAACATATGTGATTGCCTTAAAGGGTTCAAACATATCATACGACATCTGAATTAAATATTCTCTATGTTGGTAATTGTTAAGTCAGTGTTATCTTAACGTTGTGTTTTATATGTTATTTTAAATGTTGCTGTTAAGAATTTAAACATGTCACGTGTCTTTGAGTACCATAAAAAAGCGCCCTATAAATAACATGTATTATTATTATTATTATTTTAAAAACACTGCAGTGGTGACGTTTCACACGCTGTAAGCAACCATGCACTGATGCACAACAACAATAATAACTTGTGTAAAAGGACAGTTTTTTGTGCTTTTCATGTATTTAAATCAGTTAGAAATGATATGAAATAAGACATTTCTTACCTTCAGTTGTGCAGCAGATGCTAACACTGCTTCTTCATCTTCTTCATGTCGCTTCTTCCCAGACGTAAAACAAACATCACAAGCTAACGAAGCTAACTACTGACAGACAGCTAAAACCAATGCTAACCTGTATTAGCCTTCCCTTGTAGAGGATTCACGAAAACATAGAGTTCCTGGTAGACATATCTTTACATAGGAGGAATTAAAAATTACCTCAGACTCGTTAATATATTAAATTAATGTCTTGCTTTTGTTTGTTTATCTAGCTTCGTAGCAGGAAAAGGGAGCTGACGTCACTTCTGGTTCACTCTTCTTCTTCGTGGGGTTATTTTACAGTCTGGGGTCACTACCGCCACTCTGCGGTTATGGTGAGTAGTACAACACAAAGCTGAGTATTCATTCATTTTCTACTATCAGAGGTGGAAGAAGTACTCAGATCTTGAAGTAAAAGTAGATGTACTCAGAACTTGTACTTGAGTAAAAGTACAAGTACACAGATCTTGTACTTGAGTAAACGTACAAGTACACAGATATTGTACTTGAGTAAAAGTAGAAGTACACAGATATTATACTTGAGTAAAAGTAGAAGTATTCAGATCTTGTACTTGAGTAAAAGTAGAAGTACTCAGATCTTGTACTTGAGTAAAAGTACAAGTACACAGATATTGTACTTGAGTAAAAGTAGAAGTAGCCTACTCAGATCTTGTACTTGAGTAAAAGTAGAAGTACACAGATCTCGTACTTGAGTAAAAGTATGAGTACACAGATATTGTACTTGAGTAAAAGTATAAGTACACAGATCTTGTACTTGTAAAAGTAGAAGTACCAGAGTGTAGGAATACTCGGTTACAAGTAAAAGTAAAAGTATTAGCATCAAAATATAGTTAAAGGTGGGGTAGGTCATTTTGAGTAACCGGCTCGAGATCGCTAGAATTTGAAAATACACAACCGGAGAAAATCTGCCACTTCCTTACAGAGCCCCTCCTCCAACACACACGAACGCGCACATGACCAATGAGGGCACGAGATAAGTTTGTGCACAGATGGAAGGCTGACAGGCAGGTAGGCCATCCAGTTATTTTAGCAGGGCCGGCTCAGATGATTGGTCGTGCTTTTTACAGTATTACGGCTTCCACAGATGACATTTTTGAATGGATTTTTTGTCAAAGCACTTAAGATATTTATTACTATCGGGATGTTAAGTTATTCCATGGAATATAACAAAAAGTGTATCTCGAGCCGGTTTCTCAAACTTACCTACCCCACCTTTAAAGTACCACAAGTAAAAGTATTCATTGTGCAGATTGGTCCATTTCAGAATAATATATATGTTTTATAATTATTGATCATTAAAGTGTTATCAAAGCTGGTAAAGGTGCAGCTAGTTTTAATGACTTTGTATACTGCATATACTATGTTTAAAATATTTGTAAAAGATCGGAGAGCCAGCCTCTCGTCCAGTCTGACCTCACTAATGGCGCGTTTCCACTACAGCGCGGAGCACGGTTTAAGAGGGCTGTGACGTCAGCGGCCCGTCTTTGGTTGCGTTTCCACTTGGCCTAGTACCGGCCGGCGGGTCCTAATTCACAGTTTTTCTGGCCTCATAAAATCGCGGGTCTAGGGCCAGAGACAACGAGGCTGAGTCGGGCTGAGTATGCTAAACTAGAGGGAGCATCGCTGGCAAGGGGGCTACAACTACAACAAGATGGACATATTTGACCGTGATTTAATTGTAATACACGTTTCAAAATGATGCCGAAGTAACAACATACTGATACCGGTTAGTAAAAACCATGAATTAATGCTTTGTCAAGTCTGCAGACAGACGGCAGGCGAAAAACCTTTTAAAATGCGTGTGTTCTAAATGGAGATTGGCTAAGCTAACGCAGTATATGCTCCGACCGTCCACACTCACAACAACGGCCTATACAGACATAAATAAAGCAGCGACTGTATTCACCATGACACAGGCAGTCTGTGGTTTGTACTTGTTTAACTTTTGTCTAGTTTCTGAACATATATGAGGAGCTGTGAGCTCTGAGTGCTAACAGCTAACGGCTGTGTTGTTTTTCTGGGGTTCTCTGAAGATCACGTCACGGCTCCGCCTACACTGCGTTACTATAGATACTACCCCAGTTCCTAAACTGTAATGGAAATGCGCCATAAAGTGAGCCAGTCCTAACGAGGCCCAGCCATACCGAGTGGGGCCGAGCGAGGCCGTGTAGTGGAAACGCGCCATAATGCTCTTCTGGATGAAAGGGCTTCCCACAGACACACTCCAAGATCTGTAGAAAGCCTTCCCAGAAGAGTGGAAGCTGTTAGAGCTGCAAAGGGGGACCAACTTCAAATGAATGCCCAAGAGTTTGGAATGGGATGTCCTGAAAGCTCCTGCAGGTGTAATCAGAATCAGAATCAGAATCAGAATCAGAATACCTTTATTAGTCCCACAGAGGATACATGTACATTGTTACAGCAGGAAAGAGACAAAGACAGCTTCATGTTACCTAAAGCATGCATACAACAAAGTATTAAAGATTAGTTACACGTTTTACAAAATACACAGTTTTTAACAGCATATATATATATATATAATATTGCCTAAAGGAAGCGTATATAATGTGAACACAATAGGTCCAAGCTCTGAGCCCTTATGCTTTGCTGTGGCAGAACTGGCTGGATTAAATCAAACAAAACTCTAAACACATTTTCAGCTCTGCACACAATCTGCAATTCAACTCTGCACTTTCTAAAACACTGCACACGGTTCTCTGAGTAACACACAGAGATCTGACATATTCACCTGTCAGCCATTTTCAACACACTGCCATTAAACATGCTACACATATGAGCCAATGAACAGATACACATGCCAGCTGACCGTTAACGCCTGGCTGCTTTACTGTTGACTCATCAATCAGGATATAAGTACAAGAAGTGGGATATTTATGGAAGAAAATAATATTTAGTCTTAAAGTTATGTGAAAAAAATATATAATATCCTGTAGGATTATGAAATACACAAGAAAGAAAACAAGATTTAAGTCATTAATTCATGAGAAAAGCACTCAGATAGAAAGTCAGAAACATTTAAAAATATTTGTTTAAAATGTCGTTTAAATAAAATGTCCAAAGAAAGTATTCAGAGTAATTCTTATTACAGTTTTATAATTGTTTTATATATTCCTCAAATGACCTGCTTTGACTGCAGCTTGAGAAACTTCTGGATTCAGTCTGAAAGCATCCTTTTTTAACTTTAAACATGATCTTTAATAATGTTGTAGTTTAGTTTAACTCTGAGAGGTGGACTGGCTGGACTCCTCACTGGGACTCTGGTTCTGGACCAGCTTGCAGGGTCCAGGAGTTCTTGGAGAGAAGGAGCGCTTCCTGCCGCAGGACTCGGGGGATGGGAGTTCCTGAACATGGAGAAACAGCTTCAGTTATTATGCTCCAAATATCTGGAACAAAGTCACAGAAAGAATGTGTCTGCAGCTCAGAGAGTCCTGCTGGGAACCCACACATGTTGAGGAGCCCAAAGTGTGATGAGAGAAATGTACAGTACGGGTCCCCAGCACATAGAAGCTGCCAGATGCTAACCTGCATATGTTGGGAGAGCTTTACAGACCAGGAGAGGAACTAAGTACATTTACTCAAGCACTGTACTTAAGTACAACTTTGAGGTACTTGTACTTTACCTGAGTATTTCCATGTTATTCGACTTTGTACTTCTACTCCTCTACAGTTCAGAGGTAAATGGTGTACTTTTACTCCACTACATGTATTTAATACCTTTAGTTACTTTACAGATGTGGATGAATGATGTGAAATCTAACCAAGTGTTAAATCAGACTTTAGTTCCACCTGGAGTAAATTCACAAGCTACCCTGCAGTATACAAAGTCATTCAAACTAGCTGCACCTTTACCAGCTTTGAGAACACTTTAATGATCAATCATTATAAAACATATCATATATATTATTCTGAAATGGACCAATCTCCACAACGACTACTTTTACTGTCGCTACTTTCACTATATTTTGAGGATAATACTTTTCTACTTTTACGTGAGTACAATTTTGAATGCAGGACTTTTACTGTAACAGAGTATTCCAACACTCTGAGTACTTCTACTTTTACTTAAGTACAAGATATGAGTACTTCTACTTTTACTCAAGCACAAGATCTGAGAACTTGTACTTTTACTCAAGTACAAGACCTGAGTACTTCTACTTTTACTCAAGCACAAGATCTGAGTACTTCTACTTTTACTCAAGCACAAGATCTGAGTACTTCTACTTTTACTCAAATACAAGATCTGAGTACTTAAAGGGGACCTATCATGCAAAATGCACTTTTGTACGTCTTTTATACATGAATATGTGTCCCCGGTGTTCCAGGGAACTCACCAAGTGTCAGAAAACACAACCCTCTCTATTTTCCTCCATACCCAAATCTCTAAAAAAGGGGCTGCAACGGATCTGATAAAAACTGATCCAGATTTGAACACTGTCCTGACGTCAGGACAGTGGCGCTACGGCTATTGGGCCAACTCCACCAATCAGGAGGAGACCGCCACGGCCATTGCCGTTCGAAAGCGCTGGAGACGTTGTAGTACATATGCCAGGCCTGTAGATGGTGCTGTTCTGCCCTTATCTGCCCTTACAAACACAGAGCTAGAAATTGTCAAATTGAGCGAAATGAGGCATGGCTAAAATGCATGATCTGTTTGGTATTTTGAAAAAAAAAAAGTATAAATATGCCTTATATAGGTATGGTCCTACACTATATTATTCAAATATAGCATGATAGGTCCACTTTAAGTGCAAGATCTGAGTACTTCTACTCAAGTATATTCTGATGATAATACTGTAACTGGTTATAATGTTGATGTTTTCATGTGTTTTATTCTACAGAGTTTATTTACATTTTACAGAGTGTCAGTGAACGCGTCACTGTTTTGATAGACAGTTCTTGTGAAGAGAAAGAGCCAAAATGATGAAGAGAGAAAAACAAGAGTGTTGTTTTCCTCTGAGGATATGCTCCATGAAAGAGTTTCATATCTTGATGAATGGAGGATATTCAGTACTCACAGTTCTTCTGGATCTTGGCTCTGATCGTCTCATCATATCTGATCCTGTAGGGATGAACACAATCCAACAGTTATGGATCCAGTTTAAAATAAGTGTTTGTTCTTTGAGTCAGCTTCAGAGTCCTGACTGATCTCATGCTTTACATCCCATCATATCTTCTCTGCAAACACTACGACTGACTGCCACAGCTCTCAGCTGCATTACAGGAAGTAACAGTCATTAGTCAAGGAACTAAAAACATCCCATCAAAAACAGACTACCTTTTCCACTCTTCTGTCAAATCCCATATGTCTGGTGGAAAGTTGATTACTTACTAAATGTGGCTTTGCATTTTCAGCTGGCCTTCTATAGTTGATGGAAGAATGAAAGAGCCTGCAGTCAGTGGGTAACATCACTGATCTGTTGTGATTCCCCAGTGAGAGAAACACCTCCCTGTGTTTCATACAATACTGCTGAACCAGCAGAGACCCCTTACTGACCTGAGGGTCTCCAGTCTGCAGTCTGGACTCTCCAGAAGATCTCTCAGCAGCTCCACTCCTGAATCCTGCAGAGCGTTTCCTCTCAGGTCCAGATGTCTCAGATGGATGTTGGACTTCAGAGCTGAGGCCAGAGCAGAACAGCTGATCTCTGACAAACTGCAGTTCCTCAGTCTGAATAAAGAAAACATGATGAGGATAAAAATCAGTTTATAATCCAATCAGATGTTACTCAACAACAACAACAATTATACTCACTTACTTACTTTAATAATATCATTGTGTGATTCTTATTTGCTAATGTTTATCTATATTTACTACTTCTCACTCTTCTTAGCTAAGCTTGGGGAAAGTCCTTATGAAGAAGATGTGTTGCAGTGTTGTTAGTGACTCTCTATGTGCACCAACAGTATGACCTTCACCTCAGGTGAACTGAGAACTTCCTGATACGGCCTCCCTAACTCCCAGAATGCTCCTTCATCATCACCAAGCTTCCCCCCTCCCTTTCTCCTCTCTCTCGAGACTCATCTCAATACCCCTCCTCGACTCCTCCTTTCCCTCACTCGCGTCCCTTCCTTGCGTCTTAGCTCCGCCTCCGTAAGATGCGAGCGAGAGACACGAGGAGGAGACGCGAGGACAGAGGAGTCCTCAGGTATTAATTGGGATGTCCTCGTTCACTCAAACGTCACTCTTAAACGACGTCTGTTAATGATGACATGTGCACAGCTGTATCCCCTCTCATCGGGCTTAACTGAATAACCTTTAGAACCGGCCCATTTGTTGTTAAATATTTATTTAAATGATGAATCTTTCTCTTGTTAGTCAAGGAATTCAATGTATGATGGTTGGTCCTGCTTTTGTGTTACGTTTTGGTGTCAAATGTACATTTCAATAAAATTATAATTATAGTAATGTGAAAGCCTTTACTCTGAACATGTGTGTCCTGTAGATCCCCACATTCAGGACTGCATTTAAAAAAATGTAACTACTCAATATTTTAACACAAAACAAAACAAATAATTGTTATTTATCAAGATCTAGCCATTTATGAAATAACTTTCTTAATAGCTATGTTTTAGTGACGTTCAAGATCATTAAACATGACTTAAATTGTTAGTATAACCTTAAGAAATGAATTGCACATAATAATTCCCACGGAGCTGTGAGCACTTATACATTTATGTGACGCTTTCCCACTCATTCTTCCAGTTCTCCGTTTTCCTCTCTTGAAATCGACCAGCTGTGAAGGTGGGGGCGGGGCTTTTATACGCGAGTAGTGAAAACACTTCCGCGTAGTCTGCTCTCGTGTATCCTCCCTTTGGTCTCCTCCCGCACCCCTCCTCCCTCACCCCTCAAAAAAACGTCCTTCAAAATGGCGTGTCTTGATCGATTTCCGGGTCAAGTCCCGGAGGAGGGGAAGAGAGGAGTCGAGGAGGGGTATTGAGACAAGGCTTCTGTGTTTAAATATGCAACCCAAACTCTACTCTTCGTCTTCCTCTCTGCAGACTGTATGCTCTCTGTGTGACTGACTGAACTTTCTTCAAGAAATAAAATACGACAAAGACAGCTGAATGCTTTGATTCTCTCACATTTGATGAATAAATTCCCATCACAATGTCAAACTAAAATGACTTCAGATGACCTTTATTCAGACGTTATCGTTTACTAAATATTAAATACATAGATTTACTTTTTACAACTAACATCTATTACAGTTACTTTAAGAAAGAGTCAACATGTATGTCTGCAGTTCTTTCTTCTTACTCTTAAAAATGAAATATGAATAAAAGAATATTTACAACTTTATGGCTGTAAGTTATTAATGAATATAAATGAGGTTCAATTACAAAGTGAACATGTGAGATCTCCAGCAGTAACAGAGAGTCAGTGAACTGACCTGAGAGTCTCCAGTCTGCAGTCTGGACTCTCCAGACGATCTCTCAGCTCCACTCCTGAATCCTTCAGATAGTTGTTGTGACTCAGGTCCAGATCTCTCAGATGGATGTTGGACTTCAGAGCTGAGATCAGAGCAGAACAGCTGATCTCTGACAAACTGCAGTGCTCCAGTCTGAATAAAGAAAACATGATGTAACTTTAGAAAACAATGTTCCTGTTTGAAATAACTCCAGGTTTAATAATCTGTTCAGAGTTAAACAGGGTTTTAATGTCAGAGATGATGCAGAAACAATCCACTGATAATCTGGAACTTTAACTTTGATCAGATGTTGAACAACTCCTTCATCTCCCTCACAGCTCATCAGTACTGACAGCATCTCCACTGACTCATGGAGCACAGAGTGAGTCTGTGGAAGCTCAAACTCTCTCCCTCACACATTCACCTTCTCTCTGTTACTCTGATCAATATTCAGTCATTAGCAAACATGGAACAAATAAAAATAACATTTTTTTTTTATTTAGCCTTTATTTATACAGGTGTAAAATCTCATTGAGACACAAGGTCTCATTTGCAAGAGAGACCTGTCAGTGGTAACACTACCACACAAAGTTACAGACAGACAGGACACTAAACACAGAGGCAACAATAAAATACAACATCGTAAAAAAGTAGTCATTGAAATCCATATAAAGTATTCAGATATTGCAGGTGCAAACACCCACAGATGATTTCTCCAGCTTTTTTTAAATTAGTTTAAAATCTGTGATGGGTATCAAACTGGTCAGCTTAAGTTCCTGCTGAAGTGTGTTCCAGGTCGAGGGGGCAGAGTATGATATGGCTTTTTTCCCAAGCTCCGTGCGAACTGAGGGGACGGACAGAGTGATGTCATTTTGAGATCGTAGGCTATAGCTGTACTGTTTGTGTGATATGTAAGTGGATATGTAGAGGCGCAGCAGTCCAAGCATAGCGGTATAGATGAGTTTGTACCAGTGCAGTGATCTGCGCATTGATAATGATGTCCAGTTGACTAAAGAGTACAGCGTGCAATGGTGTGTGAGGGGTTTACAGGTGGTTATGAACCTCAGAGCCCCATGGTAGACAGCGTCCAGCAGATGAAGTGAGTGAGCTGAGGCGTTCATGTACACAACATCCCCGTAGTCCAAGAGCGGCAAAAATGTGGCAGCTACAAGCCGTTTCCTCGCACTTGTGGAGAAGCAGGCCTTATTTCTAAAAAAGAATCCCAGTTTTAATTTCAATTTCCTTAAGAGATAGTCAATATGTGGTTTGAAGCAGAGATTGTCATCTATAGTAATGCCTAAGTATCTGTAGGTGTTAACAGATTCAATGGGGTTATGCTGTGCAGACATGATGCAGGGAAGAACAGTTGGTAACCTTTTCTTATTGGAAAACAACATGACTTTTGTCTTATCTGAATTTAACACCAACCTAAGGTGGAACAGGTGTGACTGAAAAGTGTCAAAAGCAGACTGCAGACGTTCAAATGCAAGGGCAACAGTGCTAGCACAACAGTACACAACAGTATCATCTGCATATAGATGTACAGAGGCATCAATACTTTGACCCACATCATTTATATAAATAGTAAAAAGGGTCGGTCCCAAGACCGAACCTTGAGGAACACCTCTGGTTAAATTAAGAAAGCTTGCGGAGAGACCGCTGAATTTTACACATTGCTTGCGATTCGAAAGATAGTTTGCAAACCAACCAACAGCTTGGTCAGACAGGCCTATATAAGATAACTTCTGGCCTAGAATGCCATGGTCCACAGTATCAAATGCCTTGGATAAGTCTATAAAAAGGGCAGCAACATTGTATTTGTTCAAATTCAGAAAATCCTTAACACAAACAGATCAATATGAACTGCAGTCAGTGAACTGACCTGAGAGCCTCCAGTCTGCAGTTTGGACTCTTTAGTCCAGAACTCAGCAGCTCCACTTCTGAATCCTTCAGATGGATGCCACTCAGGTCCAGATCTCTCAGATGGGAGGGGTCAGACTTCAGAGCTGAGGCCACGACTTCACAGTGAGTCTCTGAGAGTCCATAGTGTCCCCAGCCAGTAAGTCTATAATAAAACATATATTACAACATGTGTTAAAAAGAGGAAACATTATATTAACATCAAGCATTTGATGAAAAAATATTTGACATGTTCTGATAGACATTTGCTGTTAGTCCATTTAATATAATATATAATAATATATGATAATAGAGTGTAATGAGTTGTCAGTGTGATCTGATCACATGTCTGTGCTCCTGCTGTCACTGACTGTTACCAAAAGAAACAGAAATTAAATGAATCACGTGACAATATTAGAGATGTACATATTTAAATGTTAGTTAATATGTGGATGTGAATGATGGATGAAGGATGCTTTGGCTTCTCTGAGCATCTGAACATTTATTGCGCACACAAACACAATTAACAAACCAATAAAGTTTCAATATGTTCAACTCGATACCATCAGATGTTCCCAGTATATCAGCATTAAGACATAACTCTGTTATTGGTGGGAAATGATATAGATCTGATTTTAAACTCTAACACATTGTGATAAAAACGTGTTTAATGATAAAGAAACTACTAGAAAGTAATAATAACATGTTTCTGTGATAACTGTAAGTCCTGTTGTGTGGTGTGATCACATGCTGAGAAACCTCTAAAGTCCTTCATGTGTTTGACATGTCGCCTCCATCACTCAATATGAAGAGAGGAACGCTTCAGTTTAACTATTATTTTAAATAAATAGAAGAACAGTGTTGGTTTTATTTTGCTCTCTCAGTATTTAAACAGCAGAAATGTTATAGTGTTTGTTTGAATAATTAAACTCCTGATCCACATTAGTTTATCAAGTTAATCACATCTGGACTTACTTGGCCTTCCTGCAGTTCCTCACAGCTGGAATCAGTCTCCGTCGTCCCTCATCTGATGTGTTGTACTGATCCAGGTCCAACTCATCCAGAACCTCCTCTGACATCTGCAGCATGTAGGCCAGAGCAGAGCAGTGGATCACAGAGAGTTCCTTCTCTGATCTGTTCTCTGACTTCAGGAACTCTGTGATCTCCTGATGTACTGAGTGGTCCTTCATCTCTGTCAGACAGTGGAAGATGTTGATGCTCCTGTCAGGAGAGGAATCACTGCTCATCTCCTTCAGGTTGTTGATGGCTCTCTGGATGGTTTCTGGTCTGTTGTCTGTGCGACCCAGCAGGCCTCCTAACAGTCTCTGGTTAGACTCCAGAGAGAGGCCGTGGAGAAAGCGGACAAACAGGTCCAGGTGGCCATTTTTACTTTGGAGGGATTTCTCCATGGCTCCCTTTAGGAAGACAGGCAGGGATGGGTAATCCTGATCTCTGATGTTGTTAAAGTCTCCCTGCAGGAAGTCCTTCAGTACCGCTGTGTCTCTGTTGGTGTAACAGTGCAACACGTAGACTGCAGCCAGAAACTCCTGAATGCTCAGATGAACAAAGCAGTAGACTGTTTTCTCAAAGATCACTCTCTCTCTTTTGAAGATCTGTGTACAAACTCCTGAGTGCACCAAGGCCTCGGTGACGTCAAGACCACAGCGCTGCAGGTCTTCTTGGTAGAACATGATGTCTCCTTTCTCCAGATATTCAAACGCCAGCCTCCCCAGCTTCAGAAGAACCTCCCTGTCAGCCTCCATCAGCTGCTGTGGACTCGTCTCATGTCCCTCTTCATACTTCTGCTTCTTCCTCTTGGTCTGGACCAGCAGGAAGTGTGAGTACATGTCAGTGAGGGTCTGGGGCAGCTCTCCTCTCTGGTCTGTAGTCAACATGTGGTCCAGAACTGCAGCAGTGATCCAGCAGAAGACTGGGATCAGACACATGATGTGGAGGCTCCTGGAGCTCTTGATGTGAGAGATGATTCTGCTGGACAGGTCTTCATCACTCCATCTCCTCCTGAAGTACTCCTCCTTCTGGGCGTCAGTGAAGCCTCGTACTTCTGTTACCCTGTCCACACACTCAGGAGGGATCTGATTGGCCGCTGCAGGTCTGGAAGTTATCCAGACGAGAGCCGAGGGAAGCAGCTTCCCCCTGATGAGGTTTGTCAGCAGCACGTTGACTGAGGACTGCTGTGAGACATCAGACACAACCTCATTGTTTCTGAAGTCCAGAGAAAGTCTGCTTTCATCCAGGCCGTCAAAGATGAGCAGCACTTTGCAGACAGCCAGCTGCTCTGCTGTGACCTTCTGTAAGGTTGGATGGAAAACATGGAGCAGCCTGAGAAGACTGTACTGCTCACCTTTGATCAGGTTCAGCTCCCTAAAGGAGAGCAGGATCACCAGACTGACATCTTGGTTTTCCAAACCCTCGGCCCAGTCCAGAGTGAACTTCTGCACTGAGAAGGTTTTTCCAACTCCAGCCACTCCGTTGGTCAGGACCGCTCTGATGAGAGTCTGTTGGTCAGGTAAGGCTTTAAAGATGTCCTGGCACTTGATTGGAGTGTCATGGAGGGGCTTCTTCTTGGAAGCTGTCTCCAGCTGCCTCACCTCATGTTGGGTATTAACCTCTTCACTCTGGCCTTGTGTGATGTAGAGCTCAGTGAAGATGCTGTTGAGGAGGGTTTCACTTTGATCAGTTCCTTCAGTCACACGTTCACATCTCCTCCTCAGACTGAGCCTATGTTCATCTAAAACCTCCTGCAGACCACTATCTGCTGAAAGAGAAGGAAACATGAGAGAATGAGGGAAATGCTCTGAGAATCTAATTATAACAATAAAACAACAAAAAGAGACTGAGTTTAAATGTTTTATAAACAGCGTACTGTCTATGCTCTACAACAGTATACCTATTCAAAAACAAATTAACCAGGAAGAGGAATAAAACGCTGCATGTGTTCTTGGGGTGTTGAAAATAATCGTTTCAACGATGCATTGCGATGCGGACGTGGACGATTCGGTATCGATGCAGTGACGGAAGATAATCGATTATAGCATAGTAACGTTGCTTCCTGATTTTCCGGCCGCGGCTTTACTATAACGTTTTTTTTTCTGTCACTTTAATATCAAATCGGTCGGTGACGCAGAGATCAGGGAACAGACGTGACAGCGGCACAGCGGCACAGCAACACCAAACACGGAGCAGTCTGCTTTATCCACCAACACAAGAACACAACCTGGTCTCACCAGAATGCGTGACTCCACCACGACTCCTTAACAGCAGTGCGTGGTGGAGTCACGAACTTTGCTACATTTACGTGTCTGCACCACGCAAACAACCCCAATGTAAAGTGAATGAGGCTCCTTTGTCGTGGTGCACAACGCATTTCTACAACGTCCAGCAGTGAGCTTTTATTCTATAAAACGTTTTTTAAATCTACTTTATAGCTTGTAGTAACTCACAGGAGGCTTCTTTTATTTTATTTTTATTCATAATAATTTTTATTTTTCGTCAGAATGTATTATGGTGCATTATTTACCAATGTTTGTTCTCAAAAAACAGTGCATTGTGTGTAATACAACTGTGATTTTTATTAAATTAGTTCGTTTTTAAGGAAGGCCAGAGCTTCAGCTGTGTCAAATAGATTGTTCCCTTTAGTTAACGTTATTTAAAAGATAATTATATTCCTATTTGATCATGTCCCCTTTATTGTATTACGGACCCAAAGAGCTGAGCGTCCATTCCCATTGGATAACGGAGGATTTTACACCCGGAAGTAAGTATTCTCCTTACTGTCGATTGATTTTACAGTGATATCTGCACTACTCATCGACTCAAAAACACCAGATTATCCTTGTTAATTACACAACATTGATTGGTTTAAATTGTGTATAATGCTTTTGTATTTTCCCTTTCGATTCGGAGAAACAAATATTCGTTCAGAGTTTAGGATGGCCGAAGACACTACACTACCCAGAATCCTCAGCTATTGTTCCGCTTTGCCTCAAGCTCTGTGATTGGTTGACCTCCAACTGCATTCCAATGAAAAAAACGTTTCGTAAAAGATCAAATCATACTTTATTCAGCAGTGCTTGCTTTACTCTTTGAAAGTCATCACATGAATGCATTGTAATGAATGGTTTGGCTGCATTAAACATTACACATCTGTCGTAGTTCTTTATTTATCTACAGAGATCGGGCCTCAGAATAGACCGGAAACTATTCTTTTACCGTTCTCTTTTAATTTCACAATAAAGTTAGTAGTAATAATTTGTTTTGATATTATTGTTTTTTATGAACTACTAGACCGCTGGGTCATGTTAAGACCATCTTTTCTGTGTTGCTGTGGGTTTTTTACATCGCTTTTGTGTTACAAATATCAAAACAATAACAGAATATATCCGTCGTAAACTAAACCAGAAACAGCAGTAAATTGTAAATAAGCCATCTGTATGTCAAATATGTCTTATATGTCTTAAATGATATGATGAATTGGAAATGGGGGACCCTGATGTAAACAAGACGAAAGTCTTTCTCTGGTCTGCATCCCCTTAACAATTGTATGTTTTGAGCTGTACTGTACTGTACCCAATATACAAGCTGTTAATAAACTTTTCAATCAATCAATCAATCAGTATATTTCATTTTGTTAACACTGTAAACTTGACAGCTTTTTAACCCGCACCTCCTACTGGTTAAAGCACGTTATTACACGTTTAGAGTAATGCAATGCAGGAAGATTGTGTTGCTTTTTAATGACTGTTTTAAAATGCCTTTTTCTTAATGTCTTTCATTTTTGTAAAGCACTTTTGAATGTGTTATATTTGATGAAAACATTTAAATATTAAGAGTACATACTCTTAATATAGTGGGAAAGTGGAAGGTCAATGATATAAATAATATAGAATAGAAAATATCAAGAAGATACTGTAAGTGATCTCTACAATAAAACAGTTTAGTGCCTGATAGGAGGATGTGCAAAACAGACAAACTAATAAGGCTTTATTTAAACATGAAAGAATACTTTAGGTTAAGGTCTTCTTTTAAATAAGAAAAAAGCTTTGGGGGTATCTACAGATATTAAGCCTGACAAAGTACTTAACGTCTAATATATTGCATGGTTTGTTTTGGAACTTGACAATCAACTTTCCTGCAATGTTAACTATGTTGAAGCACTTATTTTAACTGATATTATACATATTAATTATACTCTTATAAGATGTATGTAGATAGTATAAGAAATGTGCAGAATATGTTTAATGGTGGAGGTACACAGATATCGATAGATGTCTTGTGATGCACTGTTGATGAACCTGTGACCCAAGTTTTTCATTCATTGCATAACTACACCGTAGTTGTGTATATGATATGTCAATAAACCTTAGAAAATCTTGAAAGGGATGTGCAAAATAGCCATTATATACAGTTTTTAATTAACTATTAGTAGAGAATAACGAGTAATGAATATACTTTATAGGGATCTGCAGATAAATATTTAGTCTTCTCAAGCACCCACTACCAAATATCTCGCCTGATGTTGGCACTTGAGAATCACCTTCACTGAATTTTACTCAGGTGTAACTAAAGTCTGATTTAAGGGTTGTTTATATTTCACATCATTAATCCAAATCTGTAAAGTAACTAAAATAAATGTAGTGGAGTAAAAATACCAGGTTAACCTTAAAGAAAGCCTTCAGGATTATAAAAGACCCCCATCACCCCACAAACTGTTCTGTCTGCTGCCGTCTGGCAGGCGGTACCGCAGCATCCGGACTAAAACCACCAGACTCAGGGACAGCTTCATCCCACAAGCCATAAGACTATTAAACACCTGAATGTTGAAACAACATCCATAACATTCATCTGGCTGCTACTTAGAAATTAATTGTCTAATACATCATATTCCAATCACTTGTATATAGACTCGTATTGCACTATTTCACTTTTTAACTATTTTTCTTTTTGTATTTACTGCACTATTTGTTCTGTGTAGCCTATCTGTTTTATTGTGTTGCACTGTTGGAGGAGCCTGTGACCTAGGGGGGGGGGGGGGCGTTCTAAGCACATGGTGTAGTCCCATAGCTGAGGATTCTGGGTAGTGTAGTGTCTTCTGCCATCCACACACTCCGAAAAAATATTTGTTTCTCCGAATCGAAAGGGGAAAATACAAAAGCATTGTACACAATTTAAACCAATCAATGTTGTGTAATTAACAAGGATAATCTGGTGTTTTTGAGTCGATGAGTAGTGCAGATATCACTGTAAATAAAATCAATCGACAGTAAGGAGAATACTTGGCAAATCAGACCATATCTCACTACTGTTGTTGCCTGCGTACAAGCAGAAACTTAAAAGGGACAGACCGGTAATAAGGACAGTACAACGATGGAGCGAGGAGTCAGATTCAGCACTGCAGGATTGCTTTGCATCTACGGATTGGAGTGTGTTTGAGGACAATAACATCAACACACACACGGACACTGTCATCTGCTACATTGGGAAATGCATCGATGACGTGGTACCGAAGGTTTCTGTACGGACATTCCCAAAT